AAAGCATGCTAGCAACAAGCTAATTTAACACTAATGTCATCCTCAACACTTCTATTTCTGTGCTCTTTGGTGTTCTAAGGGATTTGTAACTACAGCATAAATTCCCTCTGGGCAAAAACCTGGCACAAAAACTCTCGTGAGTGAATCTTGTTTTGCAAAATGAAAAGCAAAACCTCTATCAAGAGGCTTTCTTGATGCAGCTTTTCTTGTTTTCATATTGCAGATCACTCTTTTCTCTATAAAAAGAAAAAAATTCCAGCTGACTTTAGGAATGCTGGAAGTGTGGCCATGCACTCAGCAGCATTGGCTGGTTCAGTGGAGCTTCCCTGTTCTATTTAGAAAGTATTAAATGAAATCCAAAAATATTAAGTCCAGAATCTACTGAAAATTCATTGCCAAAGTAAAACCAGAAGTTACAACAGACTCCTGTAAAAAGATGCAGGGATAATTTTGAACTTACCCGCTCTCAAATAGGAGAGGAAATCTGAGCACTGCAGTAAGGACAAGGATATGCTGGGCAGTGTTGACTGCTTTAGCTGAAAGAAAGTGCCTGGAGATGTTCAGCTACCTGAGAAAGGGAGACTTATGGTTTAACTGCATTGGTGTCCAATTCAGCAGAATCAGGTTTGTGGGGTGAGGGGAGGAGAGCAGAGAGCTGTTTTTGGTTGGGTGTTTTTTTAATTTTTATTATTTTTAGACTGAAGGTTTGGTATAATTCTGTAGAAGCAAATAGGAAAGATGGGGTAATTTAGTTAAACTTGGTTAAAGATAATCTCAAAGATAAATTATGAGGTACTTCCAAACAACCAGTATTTAGACAGAGGAGAGACCCCAGATTAATCATTGTAAGAATTTGATGAAGCTCAACTGTTAAATTACTGTATCCAACAAGCATTTTGCATGAATTTAGCCTCATGACTGTACCATCCTTGGCCTATTGGGAAGAAATGCACTTGGAATCTTGTGGTTGTAAAAAGAGATAGAGTAAAAAGAGAAAGTATGCGAGTTTGCAGGAAGCTGGCCATCTTATGGGGAAAGAATAAAATCTTTAAACATAATGCATAAAGTCAATGCTGCTTTTATGATACTTGAAAAATACTGTTGATTCCCAAAGCACTTGCTAAACTATTCCATATCTAAGGATTACTTCAGCTTTTCTTCTCACCCAGATCTGCTGGGTCACCTGCTGGAGGTGAACCTGGGCCTTGTGCATGCTGGTTAAGGTGTATCTGGCAGCACCCAAGATGTTGGGCGTGTGCTGGGAAAGTTTACCAGTGAAGTCACATATGCAGAGTGGTGGAGTCTGCTGTCAGGAGCTGAATGACTTTATCGGACTTGTGCCTACATGTAATACTAGAGCTGAAAATCAGTGTGAATAGGGCAGTAACCAGTGAAAATAGGGCTGAGGACGGGTGGCTTAGGCTAGCAGCTGAAACTTTAGATAGACTGAAGTAGGAGATAGGACCTTGTGACTCCTCTAGGGGAGTCTTTGCAAGGGTGGACTCAGGCACTGAAAAAATTGAGGTTTTTACGGTCAAATGCAGCATAGGAGAAAACATGATAATGAATATTGGAGGAAAAAAAGGAAAAAAAAATACAGGGAAGGATTTGGGAACAAGCATGAATACAGGAAGATCTGGGTTGAGCAATGAATACCCATTCCAGTAGAAGTTGCTGAGGGAAAATAATAGCTAGATGGGAGTATTATAGTTTTTAAGGAGCAGTTTATTACCTCCAATTCTTGAACTGCTGCAACAGTCATCACTGTGGGCTTTAAATACTTGTGAGCCCTGTTCTTAAGTAGGACAATGATTCCTGATAAAACTCGGTGTAATGAGGAAGAATGCAGCGGTGTGTGTATGCATGTATATTCCTGTATATGTATGTTGTTGGATTTCATTTCTAGAGATGGATTTGGAATGGAAAGAACAGATTTGTAAGATAGGTGCCTGTCCTTGATTGGGAAGAGCAGTAAAGTTGTCTTAGCTTCTTTCAGTTTGACTGATTACCCCAATTTAATAAAATCCATTCCCTAAAAAATGTTCTTTGATTGGGCTTGACTGGACTGTTATTTTTGGAGCTATTTGTTAGTCTCATCTTGGCTCAGTGGAGAGTCAATATATGGTCTCAATTTTCATTTAAGATTATCCCAGTTAGAGTAATGTTAATACTTTTTAGGTCTTTAGACTCTCCTTTGGTGTCTTTCCCACATTGCCTTTGCCATTTCCCACATTGATTCCTACATTTGGGCATTTAGCTAACAGTGACAAAGGCTGGCACAGTAATGTGCAAAATGGGCCAATAATGGTTGTCTAGTGTGGGGCTTGCTCCTTTATGGGTTTTTGAATATTTCATGCACTGCAGATGGAGTAGGAGCTTTGTGTGATCTACTATTCTGAAAGCAGGACTGGACTTTGTCCCCCACACTGAGAGGTGCATGGGGTGTTTTAAACTAGGTCTCTTACAGTGTATGTCTAGGCAGGAAGCCACAGAAAAGACTGCTGATAATATTTGTTAATATAAATGCAATGGAAAAGGTAGCTCTTAGTTCTAGTGTCCTAAATATAATTTGGTACCTAGCAGTATTTTCTGCCCATCACTGGATGGGAACCTTCTTGCTTTGTCAGGCATGGACTTATTGCAATGCTAGTAAAATACAGTTTTCCAGTGCACTGAAAGCCCAGGTGTAACACTGAAGTCCTGATTAGAATTATACTGAGAAGTGTTGTATCCCAGGGGTGAAGCTGATCTGAAATGGCTGTGGCAGATTGCACTCTGGTTTGTCATACTTGCTTTCTCTCCATCTGCAAATACTTTGCCTTCTCTGGAGCACAGTATTAGATGGCAAAGGAGCGTGCGGGTACCAGCTCGCAGCAGCATTGCGGTTTTTGTGCAAGGCTGCATGGTAAGATCAGCAGTCACATGGTGTGACCACAATGCAGGATGCTAAGTTCCTGGGGCAGTTTCTGTGAGAATCCCTGTTGGCTTTCTCTTTGGATATTTGTCATCATTTGGTGTGTTTGGGTAAAGCTCTTCAGTATCTTCGCTTATGGAAGTGTTTCGGAAGGGCAGTTCCAGCTGCCTTAGCTCTTGCCCATACACTGGCTTCCCTTTCAAAGGGTACTGTTGCCTCTACTTGAATCAGCTTGTTTCTAGTCAGCTTACATCTTGTTCTTAAATAAACCTCTTAAAAATTGCCACTGAATCTTAATAGCAATTGTATCCAGAAGCTCATCTGTTCCTGAAAGGAACTAATGTGCTTGCTTATGAGAATGGGATCTGTCTCTGGAGAGCCCAGAGATCCTTTTCAGTGGGATGTTCCTCTATTATTTGCATAACCCAACTGTTCCTGTAATAGCACCTGTACATTTTGTGCTCCTGCAGTTGCTGTGATGAGGAGTAGAACCACATGCTTTCAATTGAAAAAATTATGCAAGCTCTAAATAATTGAAAGACTATCATGCATTTAACCTAGCTATGTTTCTAAACTGTTTATACCTTTTTTTCTTTTCTGTTTAAGTGCTTTTAAAGAGCATCAAAGCAAAGGCAATATCTGAGCGCATTGATTCTGTTGTAGCTGGAAATCAAGATTATTACAGAATGGGAGGGTGCTGCATGGCTGTTTTTGTGCAGTCTCTTAATGTGTTCAGTGGTGTGCCTCTGATTCCCTTATGTTTGTCTGCCTAAGAACAAAAAAATCAAACCTCACCGATACCTCATTCTTGAAGTATTAACTCAAGCTGAGACCAACAACTTATGAATCTTCCTGGAAGACACTTTGGGGAATTTGCTTTGGTTGCTCTAGACTGTCATGCTGCCAGGGCTGTAGATCTTTACTACATATTGATGGTTATGTTACCAAGCTTGCAGCAGGCTTCACCTGTCTGTCAAGGGTACCCTGAGTCAAGAACCCTGAGTATTCCTTCTTGATAAGCATACAAGAACTAATACCTACCTCTAACTGTTTGACATTTTAATTACTTAGTGAAATTCACTAGTAACACTGTGCCTGTGTATTCTCTGGTAGTAATGATGAAACCAGTATGTTAAAGTTGGATAAATTGCTACTCCTAGCAGCTTTGTATGTGGAGTGATAAGCTGGCAATAAGAACATAGGTTGTTCTCTAGAAAATGTTTCGTGCTTCATTTTAGTAAGTAGGAACTCTCAAGATTTCAAGGTTGCAAAAGAGAATTCTTGGTAAAGATAAGTTTGTTGTTTGAAATGCCATGCTTCCATCTAGACTGTTTTCGTTTTGACTTTAAAATCTTGAAATAACAATTTAGAATTTTTTCAGTGTTCTTGAAAATAAATTTTAAAATAAGATACAAAATAGATTCTAAGAATTTAAAACATGTTTGTGGGTGTGTGTGTCCTTCAGTAGTGTAAACACTCCCTTCAATTTCTGGCTGTATCCATTCCTGTTAGGCATTAAGAATGTGTTGAATGTAATTCTCTGTGTGTTTTGCTTCTGTGGAGTTAGTAAATGGTCAAGATTTAAATTGACAAGTTGGTGGCAAAGCTCATCTTGGCCCTCACCTTCTATAGTGGTTTGTAGAGGGCTCTTTCTTGCTCAGAGCTGGATTTGTTAGTATCATTTTAGGCTTAAAATGCGTTATGAGTCAAGACAAACCTTTTTTTCAGATAGATATGAAGTGGTAGCCACTTCTTGGGGGAGCCATACTGTTGGTTTCAGAATGTTGTTTGTGCATAAGGAAAAAGATATAAAACGCCTCTTTTGGTAGCATTTTGCATCTTCCTTATATTTATGTAAATAGCAGCAGCTATAAATTAAAGGCATATTGCTATCTTACATTGTCATCAAGACAATGCTATAAGCAGATTTGTCTCAAACAGCAAAGTGAGATTACTAGCATTTATTTAAAATGGAAAATATGCTTTTTGGTGTCTTATGGCTAATAGGTGTAAATGTCTGTTTGAGAACCTTGTTACCTTTCTGAACTTTACCTCCAATTTACCTCTTTGCTGTTCTGTTCTACAGGGACCTAGCTTAGAAACACAGATGGTGGAAGATGAAACTGAGACAACCAGTGAAGAACTACCTCCTCATCTGCAGGAAGAACCTCCTGAAGGTACAATACTAGCAGTCAGTATAAACTCCTTTGGATTAAACTGGGGAGTGGGGGGAATGTTCTGGCCATGGAAGTTATTATTATTATTTTATTTAAAAAAGGGGGTTTGTTTTGGGAGTCCCCCTCTCCCTCTTTTGAGGGATATAATCTTTGTCAAGGTTGACAAGTTACCCAACCCCCAAGCCTATTTTGTGTTATGAGCTCTTTACCCACTGAGGTGTAAATGTTGTTCTGCCTTCTGCTTAACAATAGGCTTCTGAGCAAAACTGTCCTCCCTGCTCATCCTGTCTGCAGGCCTATGACTAGAATGCCACCTGTGCTGTCTTGTTGGGGATGTTCTGAGCAATCATTACGGAAGCTTTCCAAAATAGTAATCTGCTTTCTTTCCTTATGCCTCTCTGCAGTATCCTGCTATTGAAATTGTCCCCAGCAGAGACTTGTCAAACCTGGGCATGCTAGTGATTTTGCTGCTTTTTGCCATATCTCTTGGAAGCTGGTATAGCCATCTGAGGAGAAGGTAGTGAGGCTGGCAGTCAGCAGGAGGCTCAGCAATGCCAATTTTTAATTAAAATCTTATTTGCAGTGATGTGCTCTGGAGTTATACAGAGAACACTTTTTCCCCACTGTGCAAATGTTGCAGACATCATATATATGCAACAAAATAGGTATTGCTTTCTTCTGAACAGAAGCTGCTAGCATTACAGTGTGATACTTTGAGCTCTGTATCCTATACAGTGACTTTTAAAACACAATTACTCATAATCTCTTTGGACACTTTAAATAGCTCAGTGCTGAGTTTCTTATTAGCAAGTTGCTATTAAAATACCATGTCATGTCACTGGGGAACATATGTGTTTTATATTTTTCCTTTAAAAGAAGAATCTATTCTTGGTATAGCTTTTATACAGACAGTCATTCTTAAAGGGAATGTGAACCAAATGGGTAGTGTCTTATGCATTTGCTGCTGCTTCTGGTGTTGTTTGGGGTTCTGTTAGAGTCTTCTCTAAGTTCTAATCCCCTGCTCTGCCCTTTCATATACTTTGATTCTTTATTTGAAATTACAGTACTGAGAGGTAAGTGAAAAGCACTAATACACATAGATTTGGGAATTACTGTATACATATACTCACAGCATATAATTTTGATTCCATTCTTTGTAAATAATAGGTAAGTCAGCATGTAAAGGCAATACATTGTTGAGGAAAGCATTTTGGTCACTGGGCTGAGCTGGAGATTATGTGAACCTGGAAAACAAGTCATGAAATGTAGAACACGGGAGATGTTCTTCTCAACAGGTGGAATTTCTTTAATGGAATTTCTTAATCAGGTGTTTTTCTTTAATGTGACCTACAATTTTAGTAAACCAAAGTACTATGCATGTATTGCTGCTGGGTTGAAGTATGGTGAAAAATGAGTGCTCTTATTCCACTTGTGTGGATTATTGGGGGGAGTTTGATAAACCATTTCTGGATGTGCTATTTTCTCGGTGTTAAAGAGGACTGTTAACAGTTGAGATGACCTTATCAAGCTGTAGGTACTGTCAACTCTTTTAAAAGATCTGAACTCATTCCCTACTACTTTGAATTGTAATGTTATCAAGAGTAGCAAAATAGGAGGGATATTGAGAGGAAACTGATATTAATCCTTTCTGGAAAGTAGAAGGGGAAAACATTCCTGATGGAGATCTTGCAGTATTATGCAGAAGTTACAGCTGACTCTGTGTATTAGTGGCACTGAGTAGTTGGAATTTTGCTTGGAGGCTACTGTCTACCAACACAGACTAACTGGAATTACTATGAAGATAATATAGTTGCAGGGGCAATTATAAATACAGATTTCTGAAGTCCTTTTAAGAGGAAATGCCATTAAGCATGATGTTCTTGTTGTCTTTTATTGCATTCTGGTTTCTTTTGATAGTGCTTTGCTAGCTGGATCAAATGCCTTGAAATAAATAAATCATGTTGTCTTAAGTGCAACACTTCTGTTTCCAGAGGGCCATGACCTGGAGGCTCTGTCATCTTGCCTTGTGGTAATGAGCACATGGGGAATGAAAAGCTCTCTAGAGTCTGTTCTTTTTACACAATCTGCTATTTCACCAGAATTGCATCATAGGGACTCTGGTTTTTAGCTGGATCAAATGCCTTGAAATAAATAAATCATGTTGTCTTAAGTGCAACACTTCTGTTTCCAGAGGGCCATGACCTGGAGGCTCTGTCATCTTGCCTTGTGGTAATGAGCACATGGGGAATGAAAAGCTCTCTAGAGTCTGTTCTTTTTACACAATCTGCTATTTCACCAGAATTGCATCATAGGGACTCTGGTTTTTAGCTTGTACTGTTCTCCTGAAATGAGAAGAAGCAGTCATTAGAATTAGAAGCTATATAAATATTACAGAAAAGTTTGTCTTTCAGGGACACTGGCTAGTATGGTATTCAGAAAAGCAATAATTTATATAATTTAACATGTTCATTGTGAATATAGCTATCTCGAATAGGTGAGGGTGATAAGTAGTATAATATAGCAGACTTTGCTGTTTGGTTCTGCCTGGCAGATTGTAAGTAGCTGAGAGGAGAAAGTTCTGTGGTGTGTGTGTATTTAAGTGGTGTGGGTGATTTGGCTAGGAAATCCCAGAAAGGTAACCAAAATAGACAGCTCTATATGTATATCACTTAAATCCTTTTTTGATCTGCTCTCAAAGTTAATTTTTGATATTAAAATAAGTAATAGAGTAAATGAGTAAAATGTTACAGGTGATAATATAAGTGATATTAGATGTCAAAAGGCTTTTTTCTTTATAAGATGCATTATTGTCAATGGCTTTGATATGCTAGACACATCCTTGAAGTGGAGAAGGGTGTGAACAATGTACAAAGCTGGACTGGACTGTAGCAGCAAGTGAAAAGGTTTGTCCTACCTGCAGAATTGCTCTTACAGAAGAGCAAATAATTTCTTAATTTGGAGAAAGTACAAAGTTTATGGACACATGAGGGCGCTGCAGGCTTGAATATCAGTTGCTTAAAATCTTGGTCAGCCCTGGCCTTGAAAAGGCAACTCTGTTCATGTTTTAATAGGCTCTGGTTATGTGAAATGTAGATTTCACATATCTCCTGCACACATCTAAATGAAGAGGAGAAAGTATTTAAAGTGAAGAAGAGAAAGTAAACCTATGAACTCCTTTCCTGTAAGCTGCCTTGTGATTTGACAAGGTGAACTTTTGCGCTTTTCTACCAAAGGAAGGCTGTTTATCTCCTAAGGATATTTTACCTGTTAGTTTCATGATCTGTCTGTTCAATTCATCTTTTATTTTCCTCACCTTCTCCAGCCCTCCCCAAATCTTATTTCTCTTTGATCTTATTAACATCATTTAAGAGGGGCAGGGGAGCAGTAGTAATGAGCACTAGGTATGCTGCTCAGCCTCATGTGCTTTAGCACTTCATAACGAAGGCTGTTTGTGTAACTGATGGTTACTGCCATCCAACAGGAAGGAAGGACAAGGTTCTGTGCCAGGGAGGGAGGGCGTTTGAAATGTATGGAGTGCCTTTGCCTTTCTAAGTTTTGTTGTTGCTGCTCTGTGTTGCAGGATGCCTGAACACTGAGCTACTTTGAATCAAGTAGATACTCCATGATCTCAAATGTTTGCTGCTGCACAATTGTAGTGTGTGTAAATATACATAGTGTGTATGTAAATGTGTGTATGTATTTTGCTTCTTTGTTTGCAGTTCAGGTTAAGCTGCTGATCATTTAATACAGTGCACTGCTAACTGTTATCACCCAACCTTTCTGACGTTCACCCTGAATCATCAGAGTGATAGAAGTGGATTAGATCTTCTGCAATGTGATCTGTTGAAGAGGAAAAAAAAAAAAAAGCTTCTCTGATTAATGACCTAGACCCTGATGTCCTCAATCTGATAACCCTTGTGACCTTGCTTCTGTCTTAGCCTCCACATCGTATATCTTGTCCCTGTGTATTTAAAGTGTATTTTTGAAGTCTTTGCAGACATTCATCTGGTTACATTAGTTCCTATGAGAAAAATAACTTTGTTCAGGCATTTCTGGAATGAATCCCTTGGCAGATAGGGCATGCTACTGTAGCTATGTGATGAGAAAAGCAACTAATAAGCAGTGAGTGTGCTAAAGCCTTGTGTTGCCTGGTATGGTCTGGTTGTAAAGCTGCATTATTGGTTAAAAGCAGTAGCTGCTCATGAGTTTACAAGATGGTTGCTCTCTTCCAGGTTCTCTAACTATTAAACATTCAAATATTATTAGCTACCCTACCAAGACCAGTTTGGCAACGAGCATGAGTTGTATGTCTGAACCATCTGTACTCTCTCTTCTGCAGGCTTCGTTCCTAGCAGAGAGAGTCTTTCTTTATGGGAGACTGATTGGGCCTTGTGGAATACAATTTCATTAAAAAGCAATAGGTCCTATTGAGTCTGGAACACCCAGAAAAATCTTGGGGAATTTACTTTCCAAATGACTGTCATATTCCTAATTCAAATGGTTTTACACTTGCTGTGGGTAAAGAGTTACTGTAAAGAGTAAAGAGTTACTGTGGGTAAATAGTTACTGTAAATCAAATGATTTGCACCAATTTAGAACATAGCATCTTTTATAATGTGCCTCCATGGAGGCATATAGCCTTTTCCGTTTTATATCTTCTGCAGGATCTAAGTAGATTACATGCCATGTGGGAAACTTTAGGAAACCAATCCACAGATTGGGTATTACTGATTCAAGTTGTCTGGGAGTTTTGAATGGATCACTCATTCTGGATTGACTTTGGATGAAAGTATATTGCCAACATAGTACCTACCTGTTCAGACCTAACTCCTGTACAGAAAAATACAGCTGTGTCCCAATTTGGGGACTGTTGTGCATTTGAAGAGATAAAAGCTCACTTTCTTCTTTGAGGCAAATAAGCCTTCTCATACCGGGATGGTTTTGCCTCACTGTTCTGTAAGAACAGCCTTGAAGGCAGCAGGGAAACACACCTGTTGAGG